GAACTTGTACAACCAAATCCCTTCATTTCTATCCGTATTGCCTGAAACTCTCGTTATTCTTCTTTTCCATGCTTTATAGCATAACTCTATCTGGCATCATATCGTTGGTATGCTTGTATTGTTCCATAAATTACTTAGCCAAGTCCTTCCAAGTCTTGATATGGGATCAACTTAGCTGGTTGTACCACCGGATGACTGAGCCTGACAGACTCTCCTGGAAATAGTGGATCAGGGGTTGGTCGTTTCCTCCATATCATGTCATCTTTCGACATAACATGGTAATGTGAGCGGATGGGCAGCTGTTTTCATCGAACTTCTTGAATTCTGGGGACTTAAACTTCGGAGGAATAACTAAATCCGGGACTAGACTGAGTTCCGCGACATCGACTCTATGGTAGTCATGGTCTCCTTTAACTACCTTTATTTGGTCCTCTAATTGCTTGATTTTCTCCTCCATCTTCTTTGATTTGTCCTCTTCGTCCAAATTTGGTATATGGTAATAACCCGAATTATTCTCAAGATTAGATACAACAGTCTGTATCTTTGTAGCAGACGACGCCTTGTTTTTACAACAGATGAGTCCCCTTGAAGTTCCGGTAAGATTCCAGGTGAGACAACCACTTGCGGGGTAGGTGACATAGTTACCCCTTCCGATGAACTTGCCCCAAGTGTACTCGTTTGATGTAGACCAGAAAACTTGGCCATAATTTGATCGACCAAGGCCTCTTGGCTTTTTGTGATTGCATCCAGAGTATTTCGACTTCTCTGGTTTATCTTGTCCTCCAAATCTCTCTGGAACTTCAATATGTTCTCCTCGATCTGAGTAATTTTGTCTTTCATCTTTTTCTTTTTTTGAGCAAGAGTTATGCGAATGGGGCATGTCAAATGCTTGAGGTGGTATATCCCATATTTGATCATTTTTTTGAGGAGACATGCTTCTGTTAGTTAATGTGAATATAAAGAAATGAAAATAACAAAATGCAAAATATGTTTAAATGTATAATGCATGCAATGTTCGAGGCACTGATCAAAAAATGTGTCTGTTATTATAAATAATCTTATTGGGGACAAAAGTGTTACGTCTTACGAGATAAAAAACATTTTAAAGGTATAGACCCCGAATAACTTCAGACTGGTTGATTCATTTTCAGTCTTTTTCTGTCGCTGGTTGAATGCCCTGTAGAATTGTTCCGATTTCTCTGGCTAAACTGTACAAGCGACGAGCTGCTTGCTCCAAAAAGTCTCGAATGACTGCATTTTCGACTTTTCACTCTCTGCTGATTCTGCCCTCAACGAAAGCGCCTTTGGAAGTATCCATTGGAAAGAACTATCTGAAACTCACTTGTTTGTTTCTTGGATTTGTCAACAATGGTTTGTTGTCTTCGAAGGGACTCTCCAGGTTAAGGACTTTTTTCTCGTCTTGCCCCTGCAACCTTTGCCAGCTCGAAAAGTCGACTTCTGGTGTGCATGGTGTAAATCCTGGTCCATTCTTGGGCATTATTTTATCATAGCTGGATTTCTGAGCTTTTCATCTCTTGTATTATAACCCCTTTGTCCATTAATGCAAATTATTTACGTTTAACGAACACGTTTTTGGTGGATCAACACCTCTTTTTAATAATGCAAATGATGAAAATAAAATAAAAGAGAACAAAAATGAAAAGAGTTAGTGAGATAAAGATAATAATCAAAACAATCATGAAAATAAAAGTCTTACCCCACATGATATCTACCCAAGTATGCTTTTATTATTCCTACCGGACATGATCTCTATCTTGCATGTTGATTTTGAACAAGTCTTAACCACATAAACTTCTAGTTCACATGCTTTGAACAGAAAAATAAAGCAGGAAATAATCTCAACGTAGCCTAGGGTTTGAAATGAGGTTTTGGGGTGAGCTCTAATTCTCTATAGTCTCCCGATTTAGGTTCTAAAAAATGTACCCGAGTTCTCCTTGCTGGTGCCCCCTTGGGCTTACCAAACCCTTAGTCCTAAGCCCATTACAAGCTTGTGTGGACTAAGTTAAACTCGAGATGATACATTCCCTTATGCTCATATGAAGAATAAATTCACACGAAAGCATAAGGTATATGAACCCCGAAGGTTACTTGCTAGACCTATAAAGAGAATAAATTCTCACGAGAGCGTCACTTTCACTCCACTTAAAACAGGTTAGGAGCTCAGGTATAGAGCCTGAGATGAAAATTTTGAAAATCTGTAATCATTAAAAAAACGTCAGTACAACTATTTATTTGAAAATTAATCAAAAATAAATATTTAGAATCGAATAAATAAATTAAAATTAAAATTTATCATTTTCACTCAAAAAGACAACCGAAAATTAATTCTGGCATGACCCACTTACCTGTCCCCAGCAGAGTCGTCAAGCTGTCGCGGCCGTCTTTCAGTTAGGCCCGGAATTGGGCTTCGACTTGAATAATGGGTTAGAGTCACCACCGATCACTTTAAAAACATTTAGGTGGATCGGGCACCATCATACTTGGTATGTGTTTTACCAGAAATATGTCGGGTTCGGAGTCGGTTACGGTCAAGAAAGGATTATCACCCTTGAACCGCCCTTTCGGTACCAATTAATTTATCGGTTGTATTTAATTATGAGAATTAAAAAATTAAATTAAAATTTAAAAATTCAATTCGAATAATTACTTTTAATCGATTGAAATTACCCCTAAAAATCAATTACAATAGTATATTGAACAGAAGTCAAATAGACATATACTAGGAATATAATAATTAAAGGTTGAACAATTACATGAGAAATGACAGAAGTGAAGACATGATGTTAAATAAAATAATAGATAAAAGATGCACTGCATATTGAAAGTAGCCCAATGATGTCTAATGGTACCTAACCTCTGAATTCCAGAACCAATAGTTATACCAATAATAAAAATATATGGAAAAGCAAATGATAAACAACAAGGCTTTAAGAAATGTTATGTTAACCATACTTTATATTGAAATGTTCTGTCAAACAGTAAGCAAGAATAGACAGAAAAAAATGATTCAGTGAACCTAGATTTCAATCTGACAGACATACCCTTTTCGACACCACCAAACCTGAAAATGTTGATCATAAGCAATTTAAAATGATTTTTAGGTCATACGTGTTTATTCAACATCAGCTAAATTATCATATAATAATTCAGGTCAAAGATGGAATCCAGAAAACAAACCACAATAAAACTTGAATCACTTAAAACATCAAGAAAACTGAGAACCTTCTTAAATGTTCAAATATCCACGGGCTAGTACTCACCCCAGAAAGAAAATAACAGCCCTTCTCCCTGGTTTCGTTTTAAATCCCTGCATGATGTATGAAATTGCTTTGAGAACGGCTTCCTGAGGCGGGCCTTGCTCGAGTGTGGAGTTGGGGGGCACAAACCCGTTGGGAGGTAAGACCAAGTCAACGGCTGGCATTTCGAAGGGCCCCAACGTGTCAAGCAATTTATTTAGACGATCCTGCATCAAAGACTAATGGCAAACTCCGAGCGAAATAGGCGCGAGCTTTCTGATGACCCAAGCTGTGGCGCCCCTGAAGAAATATATTTCACGTTCTGCGAGATTGTTTTCAGGCCAAGAGTAAATGGGACCATTGATTCGACACAGTTCAAGACAATTCTTTTCCAATACTTGAAAATCTGGAATTAATCCAAAAAAACCTTGCATTGGTCTGCCCTTATTTACTTCTAGAATACCCATGGCATTCAAGTTACTTGGGTCACCAATGACAGATGGAGGTAAATTACGTATAGAAGCCTTGGCAGCACCAGACACCTTGCTCCATCGGCCCAAACCTTTTCTTTGGCTTTTCTTCAAGACACAACAATTCAACAAGAAAAGGACCGCCCCCAGACCAAGAGCTGCTGCCAGTCCCCCCTCTTCTGTTTTTCGTTTGTGCGGGTTCCCCTTTTATAACTTGTTGCTAACCCCTTAAGATCCCGTAAATCCTGGGATTTAACAAGATTTCGTGGATTCATGGTGGATGTTGAGAGTTTCGTGGGATCATGGTGAGTATCCGTTGAACAGATCGTCGTTTAACGATTCTAACTCCAAAATAGAATACACGATCATCACATCCAGGAGTTATGATTGGACCGTCATCACGGCCATTAAACGTATATATATCAGGTGTAATGCTGCTCTCAGCAAGATCCTTAAACAAAGTATTAACTTGTTTCACATTCCAAGCTTGAGCAAAGGTTCTCGAAAAATGTTGTAAGTGACAACATTGGGTTTACATCGTTTCATTCCCTTCATCTTGTTGAAGCACCCAGGGCTTTGTCCAAAGTTTTAGACTTATCACGGGAATGGAGGTGGTATGTGATAAGGGCATTATAAACCGAAGCATCAGGCCGACAACCACTGTTACGCATCTCGGAGAATAGCCACATCGTCATCCTAGTCTGGCCTTTCTTTCCCATAACCGTAATCAATTTCGAATAAATATATACGCTATAAAAAACCCGGATGCTCTAAAATCAATCAGCACTTACAAAGGAGATCAATTGGGCGGCCTTACAAGAAAACCACTACTACCGGCATCTAGTAAAGGCACCATTCATTATTGCATCTAACAATTATCTAGCAATTAATGATAACATGCAAACTGAGCATAAAATTTACCGTAAGTGCATGCAATATTTGACTGTTTAACAAGTATCTGAAGAAATTAACGAGTCACCCAGAAAACAATGCCACCATCATATCCAATTATTATAATGAGGTTCCTCAGACGTATATGTAGTAGAATGCTGAAACAAAGAAAAAGCATAATACGAACCTTGTGCATGCGTTCAGCAAGTTCGACATGAGCAGCTTTTACCTCATATCATCTCCAGTTTTTGTCCGACCCTGTACATAGGAGCAGGAATAAAGTTAAATAAAGATCGACACAGATTTACACCAAGCATTTAGAAAACTTCACAATGACTAAAGGACCATCAAATGAGGAATAAAGGGTATTTTCTCACCTTAGTAATTACCAAAAGTGACAAATCCATTCGATTCATGAGAAGAACTGAAATGGTATTCTTGACATACTGAACTGCACCAGGAATATCTCTATCAATCAATATTTTGTGCAGACATTCATTTACAAGATTTTTGACCAATAAACAATTGTCTCTTCGAACAGTTTCAATGCCTGTTCATGATGAAAGATGAATTAGCATTCAAGTTCAATAAACTTTCAGAAGCTCACATGGTTGAGAAATATCTTGTTTACCTTTAGTGTCCATTTTGTCATACTTTTGTGGATTAATCCAAATAAACCAGCATATCTTTTCTTGCTAATCAATAGATGGGGATAATAAATCTTCTCGAACTCTAGTTTGATGGGCTAAAAACATCAAGCCATTATAGAAAGAGGAAAAAAATAAAAACAACAAATGAAGAGAATATTAATAAACGGATAAACCAATAAGCAAAAAAAGAGGTTGACAAAAGAATAAAAATTAACTTTCAAGTGATAGTTTTCTATTTCATTGAATGACCTGTAGCATCCGTGGTCTGAAAGGTAATCTCCAAGATACATCAAAATTCAAGATTACAACTGACCAGAATTTTTTAATCAAGTGTAACAAATTAAGACTCGGACAGTTGTAGAACACTTGGCCAACCCAGGTTTACTTCAATTAAAAAGATGAAGAAAGATGAGACACTATTTACTAAAAAAGGTCTTACTTTTGTGAAAGTTCCACTGATGTGTTCAGCAGCTTCTCTCCCCAAGTTCATTGCTGCTTCTACATCAGACACACCAAATTGTACCATTACCGAATCTGTGTCCCTATAAATAACCTGATTATGAAATATTATTTTTAGTACAATTTCTGCCCCAGTATTCAAAACATATGAAGCAAGACCATCAAGCAACAATAAGTACACACATGCAAGCCCAAATATTGTTTCATTCTAATCTCCTTGGTCAGGCGAGTAAGTGAAACTTCCAAAAACCGGGTAAGACAAAGAAGCCTTAACTTTAGGAAGCTGAAATAGATGATATAGTAGGGGAAATAGGATCCATGGTATGAATACATCAGAAACTTAAACCCCCCCCCCCCCCCGAGATTCAATCAAACCTTTAAATGGTTAATCCATCTCAGTTCATTTTGATAAGTATATTGCATCAAGTTCATGACATTGCATATAAGTCTTCAACAGTAAACATTATAACTAAAGCTTTCGGGATGACTTACCTCAGCATTGTGTTCATAGCCTTCTAGCACTGTTAATTTATCTTCAACGAGCTTCTTGGTATGCTCAATCATTTGTCGACCTTCATAAGGTAATCAACACGTTAGATCAAACAAAACTAGAACAACGCATTTTAAATTATTTATAGAGAATGGAAATTTTCTAGCAATGCTGTTAATAAGATCATTCTATCGTACAATAGCTTATAACACTTGAAGAAATCTCTAAACATGGTAGCTGACCAACAGTAGCTCCTGTAAATCCATATACAGAATTCGCACTTACCTGAAACAAATAAAAAATCAAACAAAGCAATAGGTTGAAATTAACCTCTTCATTATCTGCATCATCCTCTGCTTCTAGGACATCCTCCTCCCCCATGTTTAGATCAAGTCTCGCTAGAACATCTGAAATCTCCGCCATGAGATAAGAAAAAAAACGGTTCAGCGACTGGAAAAAAACAAAGAAAAGGAAAAACTGTCAAAAGACAGAGAGAAAGTTGTCAAAATACAGAGAGTTGGAGATCTTAATTAAATTAAATTAACTTTGTAATAGTGTGTTATATAATCAGGGATGTCATTAAAAATATACAGCTTTCGTTTTGTTTAGTTAAAGAGACCAAAGCATAAGCTAAACGAAACAAAAAATACAACGTTAAAACAACGACTGATCTTTCTTGTCCATGTCCGGAATCGTTCATGAAAAATGACAACTTTTCAATAAAAAATGACACAACTTTGTAGGAAAAGTGTTCATGCCAATACTAAGTGGAGTATACTAGAAAGGGCATCGGTTTTTCGAAGATTTTTAGCTTCATTTGGGATAAAGTTGTTGTTTGTTCTCTAGGAAGGCCAATTCAATGTAGGGGATTGAGTACTCTCCCGGAGTCATCATCATCATCGTTGTCTTCTTCTTCTCCTCCGGTGGAAGTTGTGGTGGTCAACAACGATAACGCCTTGCCGGAGGATCATCCTGCGATGATATGTAATGGGTATGAAGTGGATTCCGATTTGGTTAGTTTGAAGATCAGTTTGTTAGGTGACTGCCAAATTGGAAAAACCAGCTTTCTGGTAAGCATATGGTTTTTTGGTCCTTTCTTTTCAGTTCTCTAATGAAATTTCACTTAGAATAAGTATGTTTTAGTGATTTATGTTTCGCTTTTGAAGATCAAATATGTTGGGGATGAACAAGAGAAAAGCCTACAAATGCATGGATTAAATTTAGTGAACAAAACAGTATTTGTTCAAGGTGCCAAGATTGCTTTCACCATATGGGATGTAGGAGGTAAAATTTTTTAATCAAAAAAATTGTTTTTGAACTTTCAGCTTTGTTCTTCTGATATTAAGCTCCACCCCCTGATTTATGTAGGTGATAGTAACTCACTTGATCATCTTCCAATTGCTTGTAAAAATGCCGTAGCAATTCTATTTATGTTCGATCTAACTAGCCGGAGCACCCTTAACAGGTTAGCTTAAAAACCTGTTTTTTTAAATTGAAAATAAATCGGGTACTGAAATTGATAGTTCTACAATATCTACAATAATTTTTCTTTGATTTTGCAGTGTTGTTGGATGGCATAGTCAAGCAAGGAAGTGGAATCAGGTACTAAAACCAGTGTTTCCAGAGAGATTTTCTCTTTCTTTTTCCTTTTGGAGTAGCTAGGATTAGCTGTTTGGCCAAACTTTTCCACATCTGAGAAAGTGGTATTGATTCTTGAAAATGAAAAATACTATTGATGGATGGTGCACGAATCAAGCAATCTTAGTAGTTAAAAGATGGTTGTTATTATTAGAGGTTTCGGGTTCGAACATGACGTTTGTATGGATGTTTGAACGTTCATTATGATTGAAAGTCTTTCGAACAGATACTACCTTATGATCACACCCGAGACTAATTAAAAAAAATAAGCTTGGTAATTGACACTTTAGGAAAGAAACTATGCTTTTGTAATCAATGTGGAAAAATGGCTGAATTCAATATTTTAAGGAAAAGTCATTAGATTGACGTCAAATTCAGGTTTTGCTGGCAAATAATAAAGAGGATTATTGGCAAGTTCAGTAGTAAGGACCATAGAATTGGTGCTCCTATTGATAGGTGGCCTGTATACCAGTAAAGGGTTTTATGAAGTGAAGCCCTTAATTTATGATGATTTTGTCCGTTCTTTATACCATTTCCCAAGTTAAGGGCCTTTTTTCCCCTTATGAATCCTCTAATAATAAGGGATGGTGTTATAGGGCATTACCCTATGTGTTGGCTAACATCAAAGATATTATCCTCTTGGACACCCTTTGGTCCCTCAAGACTGTTTTCATTTAAAATAAAATCTCTTCATTTCTTTCTCTCTCAATATCCTGCAGACAGCAATTCCAATATTAATAGGAACAAAATTTGATGATTTTGTTGGTCTTCCCAGATGTGCAATGGACTATTGTGACTCAGGTACAATACTCATGTTCTTTCTTCTGCATAATTATTTCTGTTAAATACGTTTTCGAGTGACCTAAAAACTTTAGATGAATTATATATATATATGTTTCTGATATTCACTCTTGAATTGAAGAGAATCGTGCATATACTTAGAAGTGACAGGTTTGAATAAAAGGAACGTCCTTTCCTTTTCAATCTAGATTGAAACACAAGGGGCCAACTTGATTGAAGTGTGGCAAATGACCAATGGGGAGTCAATTATCGACTTCTAAAACCTTGTGTATTTGGACTCGGATGTGACTACCGGATAGTATTGGACATAAAAACTTAAAAAATGAAAAGTGGGGTCGAGATAGCTGATGTCTTTTTCCATTGATAATTTAGACAATAGGAACAACGGAAAGAAAAGTTGTTCAGTCATAGCAGTAAATTGACCCCGCAATCACTACACTTAAGTCTTTCATTGTTAGGTTCTTTCCCTTTCCATTGCTTTAGTTTTCCCGGTTCTCTCATTGTAAAGCTCACACGCGGACTTCAAAATTGGATGATATCTGATGCTTCAAATACCGAACATTACTTAAAAATGAGTACAAGCAATGGATAATTTGGGGTCTCGTGGAAACAGTTAAAAATGAATTTCGACGCTCCTTGGATATATTTGGCTACCAATCATCTTAATTTATTTTCAGTAGAAGGCCTTGACAAAACACCATGTACCATGAAAAGAAGTACAAACAACAACGGCTACTTTGGAGAGAACATCGGCATACACAGTTTGAACTAGATTCGACCGAACCATCTGGTTCTACAAGAAACCTCTTCTTTTTCAAATGCAGAGAAACTGAATAGATGATGTTTTTAAATGCAGAGAAACCGAATAGATCAATGCCGTTATTTGCATTTTGTGATAAGGATATCGATAACAATAATAATCTCGCCTCTAGGAACCCATGTAAATCATGTCATCAACATAAAGGCAAATAATGAGAAAATCATGGGTACCTTGCTGTTTGAAATAAAGATTGGGCTCATACTTGCTTCTTTCAAAACCATTTTGAGAAAGTATGCATCGATTTTACTATACCATACGCGTGGAGCTTGCTTCAGCCCATAGAGAGCTTTTCGTAGCTTGTACACTTTTTCTTCTTTGCCTTCGATCGTGAATCCGTCAGGTTGAGCAACATAGACCTCCTCTTGTAAATCACCATTCAAAAAAGCCGACTTAACATCAAACTGATACACTATCTTTTTTACATGTGCAGCCAACGCCAAAACAATCCTGATGGTTTCAAACTGTGCAACCGGAGAGAAAGTATCATCAAAATCTACACCTGGTTGTTGTGAATATCCTTTCGCCACTAGACGTGCTTTGTGCTTTTGAATGTTCCATATGCGTTGAACTTGGTTCTAAAGACCCATTTAACGCCAACGACTCTTCTGTCTTTAAGAAGATCTACAAGCTCCCATGTCTCATTACGTTGTATTGCTGCAATTTCTTCTTTCATTGCAATTCGCCATTCCTCTTTGTCTGCTGCTTCTTCGAAAGTTGAAGGATCAACAACAAATAAGGCCTGCGTAGACGCATAAATCTCCTCCAAAGTTTTGAATTTCTTTGGAGGAGTCTCATCATCGGAGGAAATGCTACCATTCGAAGATGCACTTGACGAAGTTGGAGGAGACGACAGATTTGGAGAAGGGGTTGTAACACTTCGATCTGTGGAGCTGTTTCTTTACTTACAATTTCAAACTTGACATCACCTGCATTTCTTCCCAAGACCAGCTTGCATCCTCATTGAAAATCACATTTCTACTGATTATTATTTTGCCATCAATAGGACTGTAGAACCTGTAAGCTTTGGACTCAGAACAATAACCAACAAAAATGCATTTTGTTGATTTTTCATCAAGTTTGTTGCGTTTATGTGAGTCAACTAAAGTATAAGCAACACAACCAAAAACCTTTAAGTGGTTTACCCAAGGTCTTTTTCCGTACCAAGCCTCATATGGAGTTTGGTTGAGAACAACCCTTGTTGGTGACAAATTCAACAAGTAGATTGTAGTTGCAACAACTTCTGCCCATAATTGATTCGGAAGTCCTTTAGCTTTCAACATGCTTCTTGCTATTTCCACAACCGTCTGATTCTTCCGTTCAGCAACACCATTCTGCTCTGGAGTGTATGGAGCAGTTAGCTCTCTTCTCAGACCATGTTCTTCACAGAAACTATTAAACTCATGTGATACAAATTCACTGCCTCTATCTATACACAGAGCCTTGACGCATCTTCCAATTTGCTTCTCCACAAGTGCCTTGAATCTTTTGAATTTATCAAATGTTTCTGACTTGAACTGTAAGAATTAAACCCAACTCATCCGACTACAATCATCTGTAAATAATAAAAAAATATCTACTCCCACCAAATGATTGAGTTTTCATGGGACCAACCACATCAGCATGTACAAGTTCAAGGCACCTCAATGCCCTTCTAGACTTCCCCTCAAGAAATGGTTTTTTATATTGTTTTCCATATATGCACCCTTCACACGTATCTAAAGACTCAATTTTAGGCAATCCATCAATCATTTTCTTTTGACACAATAATTTCAAACCTTTGACATTTAAATACCCATACCTCAAATGCCATAATCTCAACTCACTGGTTTTTTTGACAGCAAGTGCATGGTTTTGAACATCATAAATAACAAGTGGGAATAACTTGTTTGGTGTCATGCGAACGTCAACTATAGTTTGATCTGATTTTTTTATCTTTGATCACACATGAGGCATCATCGAACATGATAGAGTATCCAGTAGCCATGAGTTGCCCTACACTCAACAGATTTTGTGACAAACTTGGAATGTAATAAACATCATAGAGAAGTTTCACATTACCAGAATTTCTTTTGACTACCACATTGCCCTTCCCTTCCACTTGAATTTGTTTGTTGTCTCCAAGTGTTACTTTTTGTTTGAAGGTTTCATCAATATCGTTGAACAA